CTCCGGTTTCCTCCCACAGACCAAAAACATGCATGTTAGGCTGATTGGTAACTCTAAATTGTCCCTAGGTGTGAGTGAGAGAGTGAATGGTTGTTTGTCTCGTTTGTCTCTATGTGGCCCTGTGATGGACTTGCGACCCGTCCAGGGTGTACCCCGCCCCTCGCACAGTGATTGCTGGACATGGGCACCAGCGACCCCCGTGACCCAAAATGGAATAAACGGGTAAAGATAATGGATGGATGGATGGATAGAGCAGCCCCTTTAAAGATTTCAAACACACTGAAATGTGAGCATGTAACGGACTCACGTTCGGAGAACAAAACAGTAACGATCTGCTTGGTGACAAGTTCTTTGAACACAAGCCATTGTGGGAAAAATGGCAAAGCTTTTTGAAAGTGTGCCTTCATCTTCAAATGGATACGATCAAAGCACTGAAAGCATTCTGCTGCGCAATTTAGGATTTAAAGTAACCTGAAACAACACTTTTTACTGCGATATTCCAGGGAAAAAAAATACAAGAATTTACTTTAAACCTCAAATATGCATTTATAAAATATTACTCAGTCTAATAGCTTTCTGTATCTGCATTTCTTTCCACTCAAAAAGAAAAAAAAAAAGTACAATACCAACATGTAAAGCCGACATCTGTATTGATGTAAATCTTGTGATCCCATTGCTAAAAGCTCTTGGCGGGCTGGGCTTGGTAAACTGAGACACACACAGAGGAGGAGCCCCCAGCGAAGGCCCATAAACAGTCGAATGAAAAGCGACATCAATTTTGGCACAGACAACCTCCGTCACACAGATTAGGCAGGCACAATGCGCCGGCTCCTTATCTCCAGCGGCAGGAGGAGGGCAGGCAGATCTGCACAGGATGGAAACATTCTCATGGACGTAATGGGCAAAATCAATTGTTGCCCTCCTCAATCAATGTAGCCCCCCGCTTTCACCGTTCAGCAGCTCAGCAGTAATTGAAGTTATCCTTGGTCTGTAATGACTAGCTAAAGCACAACCATGACAAAGTTGAAAGTGTGGTATCAGTGAGGGTGCCAGCAGGGTGGAACGTGGGATGCTGTGTGTGTGTGTTTGTTTGTGTGTGCTTTCAACATACGTGTGCAGAGGATGCTCTTACCCGAATGGTCCACGCTCGGACCTCATCTGGGCCAGCTGTGAAGAAGTACTCCAGCTGCAGGACCGCGTAGCCCGCCTTGATGATCTTGCTCAGGGCGCTGGAAGGGGGACGAACAAAAGTGAGCTTGAATCATGGGGTTTGAATTGTTTTTGTATTCTTTATCATCACTGATGCCTAGACAACGCTCTCTTCAGCAGGAAGGCTCTATTCATTCCAGTATAAACCCATTAAGTGAGCAAGATGGGTCACTTCATTTCACAGAAGACATTCAACTCTCCAATGGTTTGCATGATTAATTAGGACGCTTGGAGACTCATTTAACATTTTTAAGAATTCAACTCGATGCCTCAGTCTTCGATGCAAAAGAAGAAGAAGAAGGAAAAAAAAAACCCTCCGCTGTCACAATTTTTCTCTCCACAGAGGTTTTTCACACGAGAACAATAAACGCAAAAAATGCCCAAGTTATAATTATACCTACAGATGACAGATGACAGTTAAAAACTCAATTTAGACGAAAACCTTTTGACTGAGTTGTTCAGTAAGAAGAGGGATCCTTTGCTTTATAATGGTAATTACTCTTCCATTTATTATTCTATCAGCACATGCAATTAAAGGAGTGCATGGAGGACACAGCTGATAATAAAGTGTAGGGAAACTGAATGCTAATTAACCTCTGCGTCTTGTGCTCCGCGCAATACTTCTGTTGCTCGTTGTCACTCATGTCCTGGATCTGGCTCTCCAGGTTGCCGCTGAAGGGGATGACCAAGGCTCCAGGGTCATGACTGTCCACCCACTCCTTGATTTTCACCAACCTGATAGAAAAAAAAAAACAGCAGCCGCGAAGCAAGGGAGCAGTTAGTGATTGTTTGCAAGTGCAGATTCACAAAATAAGAGCATATGAGTGGGAAAAAGCTACATTTTTTTCATGGGAAAAATAGGAACATGAAGTATTTAGATGATTCATAAATGTGAAAAAAGCACATAGTCTTTGGAAATGTTGCAAACTTTTGGGCAAAATACTGTTTGTTGTATTGAAACTGAAAGCACCTGAAAGTTCTCATGAGAAAATATTAAAAACATGTTGATATTTTTCTGCACTCGCAGCTATTCAATTAGGATTTGAAGCATTTTATTCTAGATTAAAAGTTTATTCCGTCAAGCATTTTGTGCTGGTCAAACATGAAAGTTACAGAGTAATGCGTAAAACTTTCTTTTGGTCATTCATTTCTGTTGGCCCAAATTTAGTAAATCAAAAATTGAGAAGTTTTGTTACAAAGAATCAATGCAAGTTTTTGTTGTTGTTGTTACTTTAATTTATGGTTAAGGGTTTTAGGAAATTAAATTTGCACTTTTAGCTGTATTTTTTAATGGATTGCAATGAAAAAAAAGAAAGTTGCCATCTTTCAGAAATTCACTATTTGTCCAATGAATGACATATCAAGGTTCAAGGTTTAAGGTTCTTTATTGTCATTCACACCACATGTGGTACATGAGGTGGAAGGAACACAATTGTGTACTCAACGTCCCAGTTACACACCAAAATAGCAAAAATATAAAGTATAAAAAGAATCTAAGATACACACTAAGATAAACGCTAAACAAACGCTAAAAGATCTAAGATATACACTAAACACTAATAATGTAAAATAATACAGTATATTAAACAGCAGCCCGAACATGAGTCTGTAGTGAGCAGATGGGTACGAAAACAGTAGCATGAAGGCAAGAGATCAGCAGCATGGATAATCAGCAGCACATGTCACCTGTTAAAGGAGCATTACAGTGATTTTTCTGGTTAGGGATTCATGAGTCTAACAGCTTCAGGGTAGAAGCTGTTCCTCAGTCTAGTGGTTCTACACTTAATGCTCCTCAACCTCCTGCCTGAGGGAGTGGGGCAAACACACAATGTAACTGTAGCTGCCATGTAATTGTAGAGTAAAACACATGACATGTATACCCTGGTGAACTTCTGGCATTCACAGCTGACACAATTTCATGGTAAATTCCACAATTATTATTATTATTATTATTACATTGTTTCACATATAAAATGAAGCTATGGAATAAAAACACTGCCTTAAATGAGAATAGTTTGATGCTTTTGGAATGTGCGCGTTTCAACTTACAGAAAAACACATATTTTATGTAATTTAACCCTTTTTTCTACAGTGAATCACGTATAAAATCAACGTGCAAGCAAAACTGACGAGACTGAGAATACTTTGGCGCTTTACTCTACAACACTACAGCAAATATAAAAAAAACACAGAAGTGTTTTCGGTTATTTTGTTTTGTGTTTCATTGCGAAGAGCATTTCATTTACCTGCTGAGGGTTAAATGAACATTTAGCCTAGAACCAGGAGGGAGTAGAACAAATAACCACTAAGTGTTTTCTTACTTTTAAATGTCTTTGTCACCTGCTCAACTGCTTTGTGTGTGTGTTTGTGTGTGTTTGTGTGTGTGTGTGTGTGTCCAGCAGGACACCTGACATTGCAAGACAAAGATATCCTCACACCTAATGGTAAGTCTCAGTCAGAACAATACGAGGGGGTTAGGGCAATTATGAGATTAGCTCCACAAGGTCCGAGGCTGCGATTGGACGGGTGGCAGAGAACAGCGTCACACAAATCCATTTTCACACGGCCGCTCCTCGGCTGAATTGATTCTGAAGGGGTCCCTGTCATTATGTGTAATCCTAGTTTCCTGTTTAAAGCACATAGGAATCAAAGACTGGGAGGGACCCGGCCACCCCAATATCACATCTTTTCCAATAACAACGTCAGCGCTTTATCACCTGCAGCACCACGTTGCTGCCTCTACCTAATGATTATCAATACACAACACATGACAGGGTAGCAGACACAGGGACAGCACAGTTATGTTTTGACTGAATGTGCTTTTTACGCTTTTGAATTCTAGTTTGCCCTTCAGTTCAGATGCACATCTATTAGGAGCCATAACCTAATATTTCTCTTTACATATAGAGAGCTGCTGTTTGAGTGTCACCACAATAAGGTGGTAACCAAAGTCTCACCAATAAAAGAGCAAAAAAAAAAAAAAAGCTTCAAAATATAAGATGGAAAGAGCTCCAAAAGGGGGAAAAATCCAATCTGAGATAATAACAGCTGTAGTTTGTCACTTTTAGCAGCACAGCTGTCTATTTGGTGGCATGTTATTTGCATTCCTCAGGTATTGCGTTCTCTACAGGCGGCTGAATAATGATTCACAAATCACTCTCTCCACACCAGTCAAGGGCTGTGATCCTTTGAATAGACCATTGTACCTGGGACTGTAATTGGTGAAGACTTGACAGAGCCGAGCCAAGCTGGCCGAGTAACAAAGAGGCTATTGGTGGAGGGCTGAGGGATGATTTTAATAATGTAAGGCTGAGACGGAGAATGTGAGCCGCAAATGAGCACAGGGGTCTCTGGATCCTCGCACTGAGTGACATAGGAGCAGACAAACACCTTGCCACAGAAACATGAAACTCCCCCTTCCCTCAACTCCAGAAACAAAGCACTGTCAATTAAGAGCTTTGATGCGCCGTCAGAATGACTCCCAAAACCAATTCTGTCAGCGTCACCACTGTGTCCTCATCCTGCTCAGAAATGTGCGCCTTCCAATTACTTTTTTAATGGATGTGTAAATTTGATTGGATATTTCTGTAAACCATGCTTCAGTCTTTTTGTGTATTTTCTCATCTTGTAGTCATTTGCTCATGTAAATGTATGTTTCAAGGAAAAAAAAATATTTTTTTCCCATTTAGTTGTGCACAATATCTCATCACTTTGTGTGGCTTAGAGGAAGAGTTGAGTGCTTTTGACATTGAGCTTTGTAGTCAGCTTATCAACAAACAATATCTTACCTGTTGTAGATAGTTCTTTGAACTACTTGGATTTGAATACCATATATTCCGCCGTACACGTCGCACCGCCCTATAAGTCATATCAGTTCAAATATGTCTAATAAAGTGGAAAAATCCATAAATATGTTGCTTTGCCGTATTTGTCGCATTTATAATGCGTCACCGCTGACAACCCGGAAATGTGGGCTGGTGTTGTGCCAAAAATTGATTGGCTGCCAAATGGCGGCCGCGGGATCGTGCATGGGAGGACTTTAACAAGAATTTAACTAGACTAACACTTAAAAACAATTATTTGTTTCCTCAAAATTATAGTAAAGGTGTGTCTCAGTCTAACTTTTGCTTAATAAATGCACGTTGATGGTCAAATCAACTGCATTTCAAAACCTGATTCGTGGAAGCAGGCGCGCAGAGGGACGACTCGCTGCGCATTTCTTCAAAATTTAACAAGATAACCACCTAAAAACAATTATTTGTTTGCTCGACTTTATAGTAAAGGTGTGTCTCCGTTGAACTTCTACTTAATAAATGCACTTCAATGGTCAAATTAGCTGCAATTCAGCGGAGCGGCGCAGTGAAATAAAGCTGATTTGACGTTTGCTCCAAGCAAGCTGGACAAAAGTGGCAGTCTATGGCAAGCCGATTGCGTCATTAATAGCCACTTCTACTTATTACTAGACACAAGCCATACTGCTCGAGTGCCATCTAGCGGCTGAAAATGGTAGTTTTCAATATTTTCAGTCAGAATGAATGAAAATGGTCATATCTCAGCCAAAAATTAGTTTATAAATATGGGAAAAAAAATCATAAATACGTTGCTTCGGCGTGTAAGTCACAAGGCATGCAAATTATGCAAAAAAAAAAAGCCACTTATAGGGTGAAAAATATGGTTAATCAATTGCATGATCCTTTTACACCACTGTAAGTTTTATGTTACACAAATATTCTTACAGAAATATTATGATGTTCCCACTGGAAATGCTCTGGCAGCAGCTAGCAATTCAGGTGCTGCTGCTTTACTGCGGTTGCAAAAACGCAAGGAAATATATAAATAACTGTGCAATGTAAAACTTATGGTGATGTGAAAGTTTATACAAAGGAAGTAGCATGGACTGCTATAACATTTCTGAGATTGAAGTAGTTTTAAGAGCTTGTCAGTCTGGTCATAACTTTTTTCCAAAACTAAAATTGTTCAAATAAGCTATTTACAACAAAATAAGACATTAGTTGTTCAGAATCTTTCCAAATAATCTCACGTCAGATGGCTTAAACTATCGCTTTAAGACAAGCTCAACTTGTGTTTATGACACAGATGACACATGTCTTCTCTTTTCCTCATCCCAAAGAAAATGATATATATAAAATATGCCTTTGCTTGACCCACTTTCAAAAGCTTTTACAAGTCTGAGCTAGAATCAGTAAGTGCACGTGTCTTGTCAGTCTCATATTATGTGCCAGCGCTGAGTGCCATCTCTCATTGCTCTGTTAATAGACAGATTCAGCACTTTCTCCTCCTGATATCCCTCTCTGAACAAATGATGCCTGAAATTTTTATTCTTTTTATAATGGAATTCCAATGGCCTTTGCTGCAAATCAAGTGGAAATTTTTTGCATACCAAGTGGGAAAAATTAAATGTTAACCACGTTTTAATGTGATTAAAGGGTGACAGGGACATTATTTCTGCTAATCACTCAGCGGCATGAAGGCTCAAACAAGGCGAAAGCGCGAGCAATGTTTGCGCTTTTACTTGTGCTCCTCAGTCAAAGAGATAATTCTAGTTTTCTGCACGCACTTTTGTCAAACGTTTACAAATCTACAACACAAATGCTGATTTTTATTTGATTTTTTTCAGGGTCAAACAAGTCAAAAACTCAGGAGTCATGCACATTACGTTTAAGTGCCTTTTAATTTGAAACTTGATGCCCGATATATTTATTACAACCTATTTC